TTTGATGTTTCTGTTTCTGCCAGGCACACCTCTGTTTTCTGCAACTCAAAGAGCTGTAAGTTTCCTTTTGGGAGAAAGACATCTGAGCATTTAAGGCATCTGAGTTCAGATAATATTGGTGGTTTTATGGCAGGATGTGAGCAAAATTATGCTGGGTTCTCCCGCTAAGAAAGAAAAAAAAATGTTTCTAAAACTTTTTATGAAAGGCCAAAGAGTTTTCAGTTTAAAACTGCATATTCCTTATTGTCAATTTGAGGATCATATAATCCAACCCTTTGTTTGGTACCACCCAGCCAGAGTTTCCAAAAGCTGAATTATATATTTATTAAATATATTATGCCACTAAGTATATTGGGTTGTGCTAAAATAGTTTCCAATTGCCAATTCAGGAAGAGAGAGGGTTTCTTTCTGCTTTGAGTTAGTTTATTTCATTTGTCATGGAAATATAAACTAAATCCAGCAGAGATTTCATTTTAAAACTTTGTTCCTGAAAAATTAAGCTGCAGTTGCTATGATAGCTCCTGATGTTCTCTGAGTGGGATTCCAGCCACCAGTGACTTGAGGTTCAGTATATATAAGTCAGAAGAACATCTGCCCAGCTCCCCAGGCTCACTCCTTACTATATTTCAACTGAACACATCTCCCTACACTCAGAATTTTTTATGCTGTATGTTCAACATGTTCGTCCCATTCAATTTAAGTCCCCTTGGTTAAGCAAAGGGCTAGAAAAATCTTTCAAATGTTTTTGCACTTACATGGAGGAACTATGTGGAAATTACTGATTGCTTGCTGGAGTACGATGTCAGGTTTTTGTGTCACTCTGGATTACTATGAACCTCTAATTATGGACAGTAAGGGAACAATTCCTTATTATACTATAGTCCAATTTATGCACTTGCTGCAGAGAGTAGAATGGGGAGCATGTTTATTTGAAACCTGATCCAACTTTTTTTCAGCTAAATATCCTTGTTTACATGGTGCTATGACAACATATATCAAGTCCATTTAAGTTTCATGAAAGGTTATTAATAAGTATAGCTGCATGTCCTTTGGTCATTTCAAAAAAGGACTGGCTACACACTACCCACAATAGATACATTTTCTGTGCAATGACACTCTCTTCTTTCTTCTCTTGACAGTCAAAAGCACATTAACAGCAAGTGCCTGCGTTCTGCAGAAGCCAGCAGACTGAGAACTCTGTCCATGGATCCAATTCGAAGCCTCTTTGCTTTTTATAACTTTATAGTATTTTTTTAAAGAAAAAAAATGCTCTAAAATACCTGAAGACTGTGATTGTTCTTTTTTGGTGTTGTGGTGGTTTTGCCTAGAGAAATAAAACAAACAAACAAACAAACAAATAAATAAATGAAAGGAGAAGGAAAAGAAAGACAAAAACTGAATCAAAGGACACTGACAAAAATGCAGAATCCCCTTCCCAACTATATAATGACTGGAGGGGTACAGAAGCTGGGATCTCATACAATAATTAGATTACAGGAGATATTAATATTTTGCCATCTTCCTGGGTGTGCAAAGTGGTTATTAGTACAACTTGGCAAATAATAATTATATTGGCAAATGCCCATTTTCTTGCTGTATTTGGATCATCCTTTTCTCCCTCATTGTATCTTGACCCAGCTTCCCTCTCTCTCTGCTTCTAAGTACTATTTGCTTTCAAAGAGAAAACAAAAACCATGTTTCTAGTATAGCGTATACACGATTGCTGTATCAGTGCAATAATACACCATTTTTATCTCTATTCTTGGTTTGAAAACAAATGTATTTCAGATGAGAAGAAGGCAGGATTGCCTTTGCTCCTTCTCTAATGTTAAAAAAGGCTATTGGCTCAAGTTGAAGATGAAAACGAAAAAGGGAGCTGGAGGGTAGGGATGAGCATGCACACTTCAGGCAATAGCCATAGAAATTGTTCCCCACCAAGTACAGTACATAAACACACAAGAATTGTTTGCATGCAAATTAAACCCAATGCTTGCTTTAGTGTTTTTCTATGGCACTTAACTTACAATTCTGCTAATCAGTCCACCTTTGTACTCCAGATTTCCCCATCTAGGTCACCTTATCGAACTTTAGCAATACACTTAACCAGCACCATAGAAGTCGTGGTTCAGCAGTTTCAGTTTCAGTTTCAGTTTATTTAAATTTATATACCGCCCTACTCCCGAAGGACTCAGGGCGGTGAACATAAATAAAACAAATATAATATAAAATTTAAAAACCAGTTAAAAGACATATTAAATAGATTTGGCCCACTAATTAAAACACCCCTATTTTTAAGAACAGATCCGAATTAAAATTAAACAATTAAAAAGGGTTAGGCCAGCCCCGCTTGATGGAATAAAAAGATCTTGAAGGCACGGCGGAAAGTGCGCAAATCCGGGATTCTCCGTATCTCTGGGGAGCTCATTCCAAAGGGCAGGTGCCCCCACAGAGAAGGCTCTCCCCCTGGGGGCCGCCAGTCGACACTGTTTGGCCGACGGCACCCTGAGAAGCCCCTCTCTGTGGGAGCGTACTGGTTGGTGAGAGGCTACCGGTGGCAGAAGGTGGTCTCGAAGATAACCAGGTCCTGAGCCATGGAGCGCTCTAAAGGTCTTGAAGCGCACCCGGAAGACCACCGGGAGCCAGTGCAGCTCGCACAGAAGAGATGAGCACATCTGGAAGGAGGCTGGATTGAAAAATATAGAGGATTCAGTGGCTCTGGATGTCTCTAGAGTAAGGGTCTCCAACCCTCGGTTCGTGGACCGGCACTGGTTCATGGCATGAGAAACTGGGCTGCACAAACAAGCAAAGCCCATCTGTGGGATGCAGGCAGCACATGAAACCACGACCCTCCTGTTTGCAGAAAAACCTCTCTCCACAGAACCAGTTCCTAGTGCCACTGCTCTAGAATAATGTACATTATTTGCCAAAGGAAAACCAATACTTTTTTATGCATACTTTTATCTTAACATCAAGAGGGCTGGGCCAAAACATTACAGTGACAATGGCTTAACCCAGCAACGAGAGATTTTTCACTCTATGTCCAATTCTTGAGTTGCAGAAAACATGTAAGAATTTGAGGAATATCTTAATTGAGCCTTAATTGGGGTTTGCGTCCGAGAAACCCAGGGTAGAGGAGCACTCCTTTACTGCTTAAAGTTCTAGATACTGAAGACATCTTAAATGTCAGCAAAGATCTCTGATTAAGAGATGAGGCAACTGGCATTAATAGAGAAAGATGGGTGAACAGAGGTGCTAAATTCCAGGAGCAAGAAATACCTGAGTTATCAGAAGTTGTGGAAGGTACCAGATAGTGTTGGAAGTGTGACTTGAAGTAGAACCCAGAAACGCTGAGTATACATACTTACAACGCAGTAGTACATACAAATGGCCATTTAACTGGTAATGTGGCTTCTGCCTTGTTTCACTGAATTTCGGAGTAAAAAGTTAGATAAGTCTCACTTGGTCATATGTAATAGCAGAACTGATCTTTTCTGACAAATCTACACCCCGCTGCTTCACTGTTTCTCAGGCACAGAGAAATGACCTAGTGTTTTCAAAACAGCAGGAAGAATACAGATGGATGCTTTCCATGTAGCTTTACCCGTATCATGAAGTTGAGGGAAGAGAAGAAAAAAAAGATACATAAGCTCCCTGCTGGTGTGTAAAAATATAGATATACAGACCTGGAGGTGTTCAGGGTAGTTTGACCTCATACCCTGGAAAATTATGAAACTGACATTTAGAAGTATTGCATAAGAAACTCCAGAATAATCCCAATTCTTGGAATCTGCAACATCTTCCTTAAAAAATATAGCTTGAAGAGAGATGTTAGAATGACGGAGGGCATGATGCTCACTCTAACTCCAAGCCAGGATATGTTGGGTTCATGGAATGTCATTGTGCTATACAGGTAGTCCTTGACTTACAACTGCAATTGAGCCAAAAATTTCTGTGGCTAAGTGAGACATTTGTTAAGTGAGTAATGCCCCATTTTATGACCTTTCTTGCCACGGTTAAGTGAACCAATGCAGTTGTTAAGTTAGCAATACAGTTGTGAAGTAAATCTGGTTTCCCCATTGACGTCGTTTGTCAGGTTGCACAAGGGGATCACATGACCCCAGGACACTGCAACCATCATAAATATGAGTCAGTTCATGTGACCACAGGAATGCTGCAATCGTCATAAGTGTGAAAAATGGTCATAAGTCTTTTTCAGTGCCATTGTGACTTGAGACAATCCCTTTAACTGTTGTAAGTTGAGAACTACAAATAGATGATGGTTTACAAGTCATCCAATTGACACATTGCCCTTTTCAATGTATTTTAAACATTGGGTGCAGCCCAACCAACTCATTTTAGCCTGACATGACACATATAACGTGAGAACACTGATCTCAATAAGTAGGCTTAACTGTGGGCAAGTGGGTTCTGAGAACCTAGCCTGGTTGAGACAATAGCAGGCATTGTGTTCCAACTCCTTCCCTCATTCTCAGTCATTTCTCCACACCTTAGGGCGGAAAGCAGGGGTGAAATCCAGCAGGTTCTGAAGAACCGGTAGTGGAAATTTTGAGTAGTTCGGAGAACCGGCAAATACCACCTCTGGCTGGCCCCAGAATGGGGTGGGAATGGGGATTTTGCAATATCCTTCCTCAGAGTGGGGAGGGAATGGGGATTTTGCAGTATCCTTCCCCTGGAGTGGGATGGGAATGGAGATTTTGCAGTATCCTTCCCCTGCCACGCCCACCAAGCCCCACCACGCCCACAGAACCGGTAGTAAAATAATTTGGATTTCAGCACTGGCCGAAAGATTATTCGGGCCTGGTGATTTCCAAACAAACCACAAGAATCCTTAAAAAGGCGGCAAGAAGCCTTGCGGGCCGTTCCGTAAGAAAGGACTTGGAAGCGGAACGGAGCGAAAGCCGCCCAAGCAGCGCCTCTCACGGGAAGCCCTCCTAGCCTTTTCTCTCGGGCGACGTCCCGCCCAACAGGTGCTTGTGCGTCGCAGCCTGCATCAAACCACACCCAGCCCTTCCCTTCCTTAGGATAAAACGCCGGAGGAGAAGGCGGGAGTGGGGTGGAAGGGGGAGTGGAAGGCTTCGTCATGTCGGACGCCCCCGCCGGCTGCCGCGTGTTTCTTTGGCTGCGGCGCGGCTGCGGGGCCCTGGCCCACTTGGCGGCTTGGGGGATGACTGTTTTGCTGCTGCTGCTCTCCAGGCCTGGCACTAGTGAGTGACACCCCTGCTTCCGGTTACTCCCAGCACAGGTTGATCCCGCTGGGGACTCCTTGAAAGCGGCAGATGGTCCCTTTCTACGATTCTGGGTTGTCCTCGGGTAGCTTCTCCGTGCTTGGGTCGCTCCCGGGGCAATCGGTTCAGATAAACGTTAGGACGGCGGGACAGCCCGCCTAATAATCGCGGCCGAATGACTTGCCCTCAACTTTTATTTATTCACATAATGATCTTAAGAGTTAAGCAATAAATATCAGGCTGGCCGATAGCGTCACATAGGCGGGACGAGCCAGAAATCAGGGGAGGGGGGGAATATTCCCAAAACAGTGGGGGAAGAATTACACAAGGCAAGGGAGAGAGTTACAAAGGATGGTGGGTAAACTAGGAAGCTTTTAACGACGGAGAAACCTGTGAAAATCTGTCTACACCATCACCGAAGCAAGAAGCTTTTTTGTGAACATCACTGCATGTTCGTGTTTTTTTTTTCCCTTCTTTTCTTCTCAAGGTGCTGGCTTTTGGGTTTTAGTTCATCTATTTTTGCTTCACGCTTTGATGGGAAAGAGTAGACTATTAAATTGCAGTATAAAAATAGTTGATGAGCAGAGAGAGAGAGAGAATTCTCTATATAGCTTAGTTTATGAAATTTGGCTCCTCTTGCCCCATTGTACATGGAGATGGAGAAGGAAGCCTTTTTAAACATTTGAAGGATGTTGCTATTTTAATATAAAGGTAAGAGAAACGGTAATAAAACAGTCTTGGACATCTGCAGAGGAGGTAAAAAAGACTGTCAGGATAATAAGTTAGAACCATAGGTAAGACTGCAAAGGGACAACAATTCTTAAAAGTGACAATCATAAACTATATATACTGTTGCTAAGAAAATAAATATGGACTTATTCATATAAGTTATTAGTTGCCCAGATCCATCACAACAACATCTTTTTTTATGGCTATTCTTATTCTTATTTTCAAGAGCAAACTAGGATAGGTTTTATACAGGAGGAGATGAGCAGCTCTTGATTTCTATTTAGAGTGTGTTTATGCCATTATAAAATTGAACTTTGAAACCTAATAAACCTACCTATCAATTCTATTTTGTTTCTGTCTAAAATTAGATAACCAAGAAACAGGTTTATATTTGTTTTCAAGTGCGCCAGGCACAGGCTGTGCTCATAATTTTGTATAATATGCACTTTAAATCTGTTTCATTATCTTTTCTTTTATATACTCTGAGAGCATATGCACCAAGACAAATTCCTTGTGTGCCCAATCACACTTGGCCAATAAAGAATTCTATTCCTATTCCTATTCCTATTCCTATTCCTATTCCTATTCCTATTCCTATTCCTATTCCTATTTCCATTCTATTCTATTCTATTCTATTATCTGCAGATCCTTAGAAATTAGAATTGCTTTTTATGAGGTATTCTTAGGTTCTTTCAGTTTAGAATGGTGTTTATCTGTGGAAACAACTGTTGGAAAAAAAGTTTTATTTTAAAACTTGACAGCTCTCTGCTATATAACAGATGATTCTTATTTTGGAATCCAACAGCATCAGTGAATTTCATACAATAGACACTACGGTTCTATGGTTGTTGGATTGTTTCTGGGTTTTTTTTTAATGTGTAAAGCCACTTGTGTATGAAAGCTTTCTTATATTTGCAACAACTACCGGTAGGCATGACTCAACCAGAATTGAGCACTTTTAAGTGGAACAGATTTCCATTAGGTTTAACCTGCTTAATGTATTTCTACTGAAATCAACAGAGCTGGTATGCTCTGTATTATTTTCAGAGCCTGTTTAAGATTTGGGAGGTGGGGGAGAGGCAATATAGAAATAACACAGCGGAGTGTTGTTGTTTTTTTTAAATCCCATTAAAGTCAGCAGCCCAGTAAAGGAAAAGGCATGGGAAGTCTCAGAATACTATAATAGGATTTTGCAATTCTAATTTTGTTGAATGAGAAATACTAATTCATTTGATTATTTCAAATACTGAACCATATTATGGCAAAGCTCAGTTGTTTCCATGTCTCTGTACATAGCTCTATCATGCAGTCTATGAATTTCTACTAAGTTTAATTTCTAAGTTTCTCGTGGAGTATTCCTCCGTGTATTTCAATATACCCGTACAAAAGAACTAAAACTTGCTCCAGAGATTTGGCTAACAGTTGAGTTAGTACAATGTATTTGTTGAGGAGCAAATGATACAGTATTTCAATATGCAGAATTCTCCCCTATACTTCTGGATTCCTGTATCTTCCTTCTAAACAGATTCAGTTCTCCTAAATCTGATTTTTGCTAAATTTATCAGTATAGAGTTTGTTGTTGTTATGGAGAAATTCATATGACAATGCTATGTGGTCCAAAATCTCTTTTTCCAGCTGACAGATTCATGGCCCTGTGCAATGGTTGTTGCAAATTAATGTCTACAATTTCACTGCCAAAAATGGATATGGCACTACCCTACCATTTTAAGAGTGGAAACACAGTGGCATGAGCTTTGTAATGTATTTAACGCAGTACATTTATACTTTATTAAATAGAAATGTAAATGCATTAAGTACAATTCAAGGCTCACACAGGTTTCTCTCTCCCCACTACTAAAGAAGGAAGAAAATCCAGGACTGAATGAGATGTGTGAAATAACCAGACAGATTCCTTTGATTCATTGTTCCACCTCTTGCAATCTTCTAATCCCTCCTTCTTCAGCCACTGGAATCAAAGATTGCTTTGTTGTATAGCCTAGAAATTTTAGTAGACTTAGAAGTCTACAACTTAGAAAAAACAAAACTTGAAGAATCACTTCTTCATAGAAAACCCATTAAGATTAAATGTGCCCAGTGTCTCTGGAATGTATTCATTGGAAGTTGGGACACCAGGACAGGTGTTCAGTGAAACGTCTCCAGTCTTGAACCTAGGCATTCTATTTGCCTTGCAGTTTTGTGTTTTGTCTGAAAAGTACTGCCTTTTCATTTGGTAGAAAATTTGGCACAGAGCTGTAGTTCCTTCCTTTCCCTCCCTCCCTCCTCCCCTCCCCCACCCTGCAATTCCCTGCACAAATTGAAAATATATTCTGTTGTTAGGAAAGGGGCATTTTGGTAAAGGTAACACCAGAAGATCTCATCAGTTTCTGAAATTCTTAGCCCTACTAAAAGAAAAATCCCCAAACCCTGTAGCTGCTGTGACATACTATCCTTTGTGATCTGATCCAAGATAGTGGATCTGAGATGATGAGAGGTAGATTGACTTAAAAAGACTAAAAGCGAGTTTGGTGAAGTGATTAAGGCAGCAGGCTAGAAACCTCGAGACTGTCGGTTCTAGGCTCATCTTAGGCACAGAGCCACCTTGATGACCTTGGACTAGTCATTCTCTCTCAGCCCTAGGAAGTAGGCAATGGCTAACTCCTTCTGAAATCTTGTCAAGAAACCTGCAGGGACTTGTCCAGGCAGTAGTCAGGAGTCAGTACTGAACTGACTTGCAGGTATGATTGTGTTCACATGCCCAAATGATGGATAAAGATGACTAAAACCAACTTGACAAGGAGAGAGGACTTGTCAAGAGGTGTCAAGTCTGCACATTTTTGTTCGCTTATTCCCATACTCTGATTTCCCTGGCATGAAGAATAAGGAATATTAAAAAATGTTGAATGCCTGACATTAAATTGTCCTTGGCTATTGTGAAGGCAATCTACACCCCGCCCCCTCTTCCTTGTTCTATATCAAAAGCCATGGTTATTGATCCTTGCCAGACAAATTGAGATGAGCAGTGAATCATTCTTGAAGCAGTGTTTGGGGCCTGCCCTACTATAGTTGGCCACTAGAGCTGAATGAAGGAGTACATGTCCTATCCATAAAAAAAATAAAAGTAAAGTTTTAGAATAATTGGCTGACCGCATAATCAGAGGCAGTGTTGGAAATTCAGGAAAGGGGGATTGTCCGGGTCCCAAGTACATTCAGTACTTTCTCCCCCAAATATAAACATAGTACATAACATGTAACTAGTGGTAGACATATAAAATGGCCCTGCACCTTAAAGCTGCTTACCGCTTTAGCAAAATACAAGGCCTGGGAATTGTGATAGCCAATAGTACTTGCAGGCATGTATATTTGGAAAAATGTACCAGGTGTGCCACTTGTACATCAGCATGCACAAAATAAGGGTTGGATTTGCAAATTATTGTCGGAACCAATTGTTGCTTAAATTAGAAACTCTCCTGGCTACGACAGAATTGGGTGTAAGTGGGGGTAGGGTAGGATAGTCAAGAAGCAATATAGAGTTGACATACATAATCCTACTGCTCAATATGTCCTATTACTGATGCTGTGGCTTGATTGGCAGATGTTTTTGCTATTGACGAGCAAAAGAAGGAGGATAGCAAAGCTGGAAGATTGAAGTAAATGCTTTGCATACAGTGCACTGTGCATGCAAAATCAGGAGAGCCCATTTGGGAGACACAATAGAGGCAGGAATAGGGATTGGCAATGAGGGTGGAACATTCCTTGCTGGTTTTCTGTTGCCTAAAGAATGGGTGAATAATACTTGAACTTAGCAGTAGGAAAAGGGTCTGGGTGAAGACTTAATAAATTTAGAGAACTTGAAGAAATTGTGGGAAAACATTAAAACTGCAATAAAGTTAAAACTTAAAAACAGTCACTTCTCTAGATAAAGGAATCATCTTTTTTCTCTTGTTTCAGAGGAACAGTGTCAAATACTTGGGTGCAGATGTTGAATATGAGGATGTATGTATTAAAAGGCTGCTGCATCTAAAGAGATTTGTATGAAAGAAAAACACAAGGATTTGAGAGCTAACAGCACCATGCTATGTGAATTACGGTTTCATTTTTCAGCTCTCTAGTGCTCCAAATTCTGTTCCCTTTGTTAAAAATAAATATATAAAATATTTGTGGAGCAAATCTTGAAAATGTTAAAGACGGGGTTTGCTAAAAGGCTAAAAAAGGAGTATTTAGAGGAGAATGGATTATCTTGTTAGAGAGTCGAAATGCTGCATTATGCTTGGATTCTTTGATTTCTTCCCAAGCTGTTTTAGATCCTGCATGGTAACCTACCATCCTCTCTGCCCTTGCTAAAATGTTTGAAACACTGAAAGACAATGTTGTAAATGTTATAATTGGAACAAATCATACTTCCTGAAATCAGAATGCACATACAGATAGTTTACATGTAGAGCATTTTGAGAAAGCCAGAGAAGTCAGACTGAGAATTGTAACTAAACCATAGCATATTTTCCTTGCATCATTTTAGCACTGGGCAACTGTTGGCTGCATATGCATAGGCTGTTATCCAGAACCTTCCATAGCTAAGATACAAAGATGTCCCTCACTTGTTTGACTGCAAGCACAACTTTATAATACATTTGTTTATATATTTGATTTTATATCTCTCCCACTTAGCACATGATTGAGAGAAGCAAACATCAATAAATCATAAAAAATCAGATAACAAAACGAAGTATAAAAACATCAGAAACAGCAACATAGAAACGCATAAGATCAGACTTCCTCTGGTCTCCTGGCATCAAATTGGCTGGTGAAGTCAGGTTTATTTTTACATTGCTTTGCCAAAGCTGAATAGTCTTCCTTATTTTCTCTTCCTTCCAGGTTTATTTTCCTGGCACCCGGTGTTCATGTCAATTGCAGTAAGTTGTTCTCTTTTTATTCAGTATATGACAGTACTCATTCAACACGTATATCTCTCTACTGTAGATATGTGTGTTTTTATCCAGGCAAGTACTGTATCCTAGGCACCTGTTGAATAATACCTGAGCCATCCAACAAGAACAGAACAGTCATAACGGGTGTGGTTTGCCTGAATCTTAAAACATTTTCTGTCCTATAAAAACTGAGCATTTAGCTGCTGAAGCAGAATAGTGATTTTTTTAAAAAAGAAAGCTTTGCAGTTTCTTTTTATCACTTCAGATCCTTTCTCTTTAAAATTCAACATTTTAAATTATGTATGTCCTCCTCCTAGATTAGACCCCCCCACCATTCCTGGTTAAACATATGGAGAATATTAGTAGTTAAAATTAAATCAAATATAGTTGGCAGTACTCCTGGCTCTGCCTGGCTTTTGCCCAGCACACTTTTCAAAGCCCAAATGTTACCTTTGAAGTCCAAAATACAGGTAGTCCTTTACTTATGACCACAATTGAGCCCAACATTTCTGTTGCTAAATGAGACATCTGTTAAGTTAGTTTTGCCCCTTTTTATGACCTTTCTTGCCACAGTTGTTAAGTGAATCACTGCAGTTGTTGTGTTAGTAACATGGTTGTTAAGTGAATCTGGCTTCCCCATTGACATTGCTGTCTCAAAAAGTCACATGAGGTCACATGATCCCAAGACACTGCAACCGTCATAAATATGAGTCCGTTGCCAAGCATCCAAATTTTGATCATGTGACCATGGGGATGCTGCAGTGGTCTTAAGTGTGAAAAACAGTAATAAGTCACTTTTTTCAGTGCTGTTATATCTTCTAACGGTCACTAAACAAACTGTTGTAATTCGAGGACTACCTGTACAGTGCATGTCTGGTTAAGGTGTAAACTGCAGATCACCTGAGGTGGGGAGGGGGGAGAAAGAGAAGGGGAAGGGTGATGTTCTGCTTTCTCTTGTTTCTGCTTGCGTGCTAGGAGGGCTGCCAGAGTGGCAGTGACAGCATAGAACAACAGAGAAGGAAGATTTCAAGATCAGCCTTTACTCCATCCTCTCCAGTTTTTGCAGATGCTCATTAACAAAACCTAAGTGAGTTTACTGAGTACCATCCCCAGTCTAAATAGTCAGTGCCCAGTGCTTGTCTCACAACAAGCAAGGACAGACCTGATTAATGCTCGGATAGGAGATGACTAGGAAGTCCCAGCACTGTAAATTAGGTTAGGAATTTTTTCATTAAGAAATTAGGAAAAATGTTTGGTCTGATAGTACCAGGCTGGAAACCAGGACGCTGAGTTCTAATCTGGGTGATTTTGGGCCACTCACTGTCTCTTGGCCTAATTCACCTCACAGAGTTGTGGTTGTAAAAGAAAATAGGAAGAGAGAGGAGTATTAGTATGTTTGCGGCTTTGAATTATTTATAAAATCAATAAAAGCAAGATTTAAAAAAAAAAAAAACTTTGAAAAAGAAAACCATTGGATATACAGTAAGTGGCCAGAAAACTGAATAGGCATGTCTATGAAATTACCAAGAGGTGAGCTTGACTTAAAGGAAACTCACCTCTTATTTTTTGTGTGAAAAGTATTTTTTTTCCTCTCATGTCACTCCAGGTCAGTTAACTGCTTCTTAACTGCTTTTCTATTATAGACCACCCTAATCATTTACTGCATATTGCAGTGATGGCGAACCTTTTCAGCACTGAGTGCCGAAAAGGTCGCTCGAAAATGTCACATGCGCATGGGTGCCCTTGTTGCGGCTGCGCTCTGGAAAAGCTGAATTTCCGGGTCCTAGCGTGCATGCGCGCCCGATGATCAGCTGGCCGGCACACGGGCATGCACTGGTTTTTGGCACTGCTGCCACACGAAGGACAGCTGATCATCACATGCGCATGTGTGCTAGAAACCTGAAAGACAAACAGGCAAGGTGGTGCATGCTGGGCGAAATGGCTTTGCGTGCCACTTTGGGCACGCATGCCATAGGTTCGCCATCACGGGCATATTGAAAACCTGCATCACGAAAGGTTAGGCTGAACCTGATATGTCCATTATCGGCAGGGGGAAGTGTGCTAGGAGCTGAACAATTAGGGACAACTATTACCTGTCCCAAAGATTGCAAATGGAATAAAGGTGTAGGGTATTTAAAAAAATCACTTAAAGGCAAAATAAATATTTTTTTTACCTGTTACCTGTTACTGTTAAGTAGAAGTAGCCTTGTTATTAATGGGTTCCTATGTCCTACTCAGTTCTGCCTCTGCCTGACGGAAGCCATCCTGATCTTCTCTCCAGAGGGCTCCCTTTTCTTCTGCTCCCACAATGTAAAAGTGCAGCTGCATTGGATTGCACAAATGTTGGCCCTCGGGGCTGCCACCTTGGGATTGGTCTTCATTATCTCCAGCAAGAACCGGAGTGAACTACCACACTTCATCTCTTGGCACAGCATCCTGGGTCTTCTGACCATATTGGCCACCTGTGGGCAAGTTCTGTGTGGATTGGGCCTGCTGTTTCCACAGCTAATAAGGATTTCATTAGCGACTCAGCTCCGGAGATGCCACACCGTGTATGGACTGATAGTTTACTTGCTGGCCACTTTTACTGTAGTACTGGGCATTTGCTCTGACTGGTTTCAGGCCCAGATCAAAGGCGTGGCTTGGTATTTATGCCTGGGATTGGTCTTTTGTCCAGCCCTGGTAATTGTGAACCAGACTTCTAGAACTTGTTTGTCGAAGAAGAGACAGTATGTTTGAGAACTAATCTCAGTAGGACGCCCTGGAATCAACATTTCAACACTATTATTTATGTGTTCTCTTTTTTATCATGATCTTTGTTACATTCCCACTTGATTTTCTATGCATTCTGCTTCTTTTGTTCCATAGGTTGGTTGGGTATGGACATACTAGAGGGAATTACAAGTTAGAATTCAGCAAATGTACCGAGCACCCTGGCAAGGGGTTATTTTCCTAACACACAGCAATGCATGTATCCAATTACGTATACTGGAAATGTTAACATTCATTCTTTTTAAAAAAATGTTTTATTAAAGTTTATTGCAAGATAAAAATACAAAAAGAAACAAAAGTTAGAAAGGTAAAAGGAGGAAGAAGAAAGGTGCAAAGAAAAAAAAAGTGATTCCGGGATTTGTTCAGTGTAGAATACAAACAAACAAACAAAAAAAAAACCTTCAACTTTTTGCTTTGCATTTCTAAACAGCTCAAGCCATTTCTATAACAAAGTCATTCTAATGATCAAAACTTAAAATCAAAGGGTTTTTTTCGATTTTGAGCAAAAGGTCCAGAAGTGGTTTCCAAATAGAAACAAATCTAGATAGGTTCTTTTCTAAATAATACAGTCAATTTTGCCATTTCTGTCAATCACATCGTGCCAATTTTCTTTCTAGCTCACTGACCAAGTCAACATGGATATTTAACTGGTGCTCAAGCTTGAATCCACAATGTTGTTCTGCTGAGAAGCACAGGGTGGGCACAGTTGCCCATTTGCTTTCTTCTTGAATAGTAGTAAAGAATTACTGGAGCTTACATCTATTACTCTCAGTCCTACAGGCCCTTCAGTAAGTGGATCAGGGACCAATCTGCAGTAGTTATTATTCCCTTCAGCCCACTCTGTAGGCTTATTTACGTATCAAATGACAAATCCCAGTCTATTATTTTGAAAGTACTGTATGCTATTTTTTCCAAACTTCTAGGACCCTGTAATTGTAAAGTAAGGCTTCTCCCCACTTAAATTGAATACTTCCAATCTGGTGAAATTATATTACTCGGAGTGGTTTTGAAGCGGCTTCAGAATATGTTCTGCAACATTTTTCACCACCAACTATGTCTTTCCATATAAAAGTTAAAATATTTTGGCAAGAAATAGCAGGTTCCGTCTATTAGAAGATTGGGAATATACATTTTAGCCCAATTTCCAACTGTGGAGACCCACAAACCAGGGGTGAAATGCTCCCAATTCGGACCGGATCGCCCGATCCGGTAGTGATGGAGGTGGGTGGCTCAGAGAACCGGTAGTAAAAATCCCTGCCCCCCCCCGCCCAGCTGAGCTGCACAATCATCAGAGGCTTTTTTTTTTTTTTACTTTTAAAAGCATTTTTTCTACAACCTCTTTGGCCAAAAAAATGCTTTTAAAAGTAAAAAAAAAAGCCTCTGATGATCGCTCGGCTCAGCTGGGATCGTCAAAAGCTTTTAAAAGCATTTTTTCTACAACCTCTTCAGAGGTTGTAGAAAAAAAGCTTTTAAAAGCCTCTGATGATCCCAGCTGAGTTGCCTGATCTTCAGAGGCATTTAAAAGAAAAAAAGCCTCTGCCGATCAGGCAACTTAGCTGGGATCATCAGAGGCTTTTAAAAGCTGAAGAGGTTGTAGAAAAAGGTTGTAGAGGTCGGCTGAAGAGGTTGTAGAAAAAATGGTTTTAAAAGTATATTAAAAAATTGGCCACGCCCACCCAGTCACATTACCCCCCCCACCAAGCCACACCCACAGAACCAGTAGTAACAAATTTCATCACTGCCACAAACCGATACTTTTTAGGTTTTTTTTTCTTTTTTAAAAAAGCATGACCACATCTGGTTCATTTAAAAATAAAAGAGAAACTGAAGTGGCTCACAACCTTCTGCCTCTTCGGCTATAAAAACTGTGCTTGTACCAGTTTCTCCTGTGACACGCACAAAGTGTTTATGGCCTTTTAAACTCATTTGGCAATTACAATATTAATAAGTAACTGCAGGGCAATGATTCCATGTTTGTGTGTTTGGGGAGTTCCAGCACAGCATTGCCTCAGAAGCAAAGAGGGCTGCAATATGCAATTTACTTAGTATCCACCCTCAAGCTGGAAATGTTTTTAGTATATTTATATTTTACATTTCTAAGGTGCTCAGTCCAACAACTATATGGCTTAGAATTTAAAACAGTAAAGGAAAAAAAAAACAACCAAACCAAAAGATTGCACCATCTGGAGAACAACAGCAAATTCGCTCTCCTATCTGTAGAGATAAAAACACAAATCACCTAACCCAAGGCCCTTTCCATGTGAATCTTGGAAATGGGGAAATAGTATTTTAGAGATATGTGCTACACCGAGAAGGCTCATCTCCTGGGCTAGATAAAATTACTTAATCAACAGGAACAGGAAGAGATCCAAGCCTTGCAGGACAAACAGAAACAAAGGACAGATGCTTCCTTAAATAACAAAGTCCTATGTCGTATAGGGCTTTAAAGATAAAAAAATAGCACACTGAATTGTAGCCAGAAGCCATCTGGTAGCCAATGAAGCCTTAGAACCTGGATGACATATAGGATCGCTCACCAATCACTGCTGCTTCTAAAAAAACTCTAGCTTTGGAATGGTTTTCCCCAGATAGACGGCACTGCAATTGTTCAACCAAAATGTGACTGAGGCATTAATGACAATTAGAAAGCTCTCTTGGTTCAAGAAAATGTGTAATCGGCATATAAGGTGAATCTGTGCAACCCAAACAGGGCAGTACAGGTAGCAGAAGCCCATCTGAGCTTGTTCTTCCACATCTAGACCTTCACAACTTCTAGGCATTGAAACATGACTTCAACATTGGGAATCAGATAGGTGAGTATCATTAGCATATTGATGATGATACCTAACTCCAAATGGATGGATATCCTGACTCAGCAGCTTCATGTAGATATAAAGTAAGAAGGGTCAGAGCAACGACCATTGTGATACCTCACCATCAGGTCATTGGGTTTGACCTGTCTCTTCCTGGCAGCTGTATGAAGTATATAGATCATGAAACTGATTTCACAGGAATAATGGAATTATACTTTATTGACACAGATTAGAATAACAGAATATTGCATATCTGATTTGTTTTCCCTCTTATACACCACAGAATCAGGAGAGATCTAGTCTGAGTCTGTTTCTAATGCTTTCCTATTCACAGCGAATAAAAACAAATACTTGCTCTTTTGTTGTGATAATGGCATTTGGATGACTTTTCCAAGGTAATCTCCATGGCTAAAACTGCTAAGAGGTTGAGAAGAACCATTCTTCCCAAGATGTGCTGCTCCCCATCCCAGCTCTGCCACAAATCATCCACAGGTGTGATCAGTGTGCATCCCTGAACTAATTATACAACTGTCCTGGGACTGGTGTTGCCTCAGTACTATGGCTCCTGTACTTTTTCCATTGTTTTATATTGCCGGATGTTTTACATTTATTCTCTGCCCCAACTACCTTCCTTTCCTTGTCATTTGATTTCATGTAATTCTAACAGGTGGAAAAGTGATCACGTATCTTAGCTTGATACTGTAAGTATCAGGCTAAGATAAGTGATGACCTTTCCACCTGTTAGAATGTAAAGTGTGATCCCAACAGAGTGCCACATTTCTCCAAACATGTCTCTATTAAATAGGTGCCTGCAATGCTTATAGGTTTACTTAAGGAGTAAATTTTGCAACTGTGGTCTTGCATCTTGTATCCCTCCACTCATTACTTACAGTTCTGATTGTCATGCAGATTTTTAAAGCAGTTTACTCTAGAGCGATGAATCAGAAACAGAAGATCTGAAGAAAATTCAAAGTCATACAGAAGATGTTTTTGTGTTCTCATATTTTTCGTGCAATATAGCAATATTTTGACAGCAAGTAAAATTTTGTTGAATGTAATTCAGATGTTTTGCTTTGACGTTCCATGTCTTCTATCTTCTCAGGTTATTTTATGACTGAGGAAATCACCTAATTTTATATTTTGTTCTTATTGTATGTATGGCATGATGTGTATTTCTGCTGCAGCCTTCCCAAACTGCTTGTCTTCTACGGTAGATATGCTGGGACTGTAACACTCAGAATTATAGTATACTATAGAATTATAGTATGATAGGAATATCTGAAAGGCACTAATTAGACTATTAGAGGAAATGTATTGTATTGTCCTTGCTTGTATCTGGCAACATAGTTTGATGTTCTGAGTTAGCTAGTGAAATTGGAGCAGCACATTTCTGATTTGCTATATCATTGGCCTGGCAGGACTCTGGAATGGAAAATGGAAAGTAGCTGGAAAAAAGGCTGGAAGTGTAGGTTATGGTACAGGTAGTCCTTGACTTACAACAGTTTGTTCAGTGACTGTTCAAAGTTACAACAGCACCTGACATGACTTACGACTGTTTTTCATACTTGCAACCACTGAAGCATCCCCATCGTCATCAAAATTTAGATACTTGGCAGCTGGCTCATATTTATGATGATGCTATGGTCGTATTTATGATGGAGCCATGGTCATATGATCCCCTTTTGCGACCTGACAAGCAAAGTCAATGAGGAAGCCAGAGTCACTTTCACTGTGTTACTAACTTAACAACTGCAGTGATTCACTTAACAACCGTGGCAAGAAAAGTCACAAGGTGGGGCAAATTATCTTGCTTAACAACAGAAATGTTGGGTTCAATTGAATTGCAAGTCAAAGATTATTTGTACTTTAAAACCATTATAAATGAAAAATACAGATGAACTGGACTAGGGAGAGCTTACTTTCTAGGTGCTTGTTCTCCTGGAATAGATCACAGTATTTAATACTTCGATATTGAGGTGTGTTAATCTTCTGAATCTTTGCTTTTCTTGTTTCACGTATTCACTTGCTTAGTTTTCTGATTAACCTCAAGGAAACATCTCTGAAACTAAGTCTTCATATACTGACAATGTAAACCTATATAGCACCAACTCTGTTGTCCTGTTTATGGGCACACCTGTGGGCACACAGGTGGTATGTGGGTGGGTGTGCACATGTGTAGACGAGTGTAATTCGGTGATTTTCTCCGTAGGAAGGAAGCTTAGAATTTGACGTGCTAAACCCATGCACAAT